TACATCTTTTTAGAAGACAAGGGTATAATTATGTGACAGTACGAGTGTATAATAAGATTCCAGTTGATATTCAAAATTTGCCATTCACGAGGTTTAAAACTATAGTGAAACAAAAACTTAATACTAAAATCTATTATACAGCCTCTGCGCACTTGAAACAAAAATCCGTGGTATTATCTTGCGGGTTATCTCGGTGTGCTTCAACGGTTAAATTTATTTTAAACTCTTGGTAGAGACATTGGCCCCCAACTGGGAAATTCCCAATTGTACGTGTATCGAACAAATTTACTTTCGAAAATCCTACCCGGAACACTCAGATGAAAACTAATGTAGAATAAGTAGTTTCCTAAATTTGACTATGTGTCTATTGGCCTGATGAACTTGATTGTTGACTCTACATTACAAACTTTGTGATTGTGATGGATGACACAAACAAAATAATAATAATAATATTTGTTTTAAGTGTCAGACAACCACACCAATTGCCTGGTCTCAAACTAGGGGATTTCCTGCACAATGAGTACCAGAACAACGGAATCCACTATGGGGCTCTTCCAATCAATTTATAAAAGTTAATTTCCCGAGTTTGCCCTACCGGGAATCGAACCCGGGGTTCGATCGAGCTTTCACAATGTAAGACGACCGAGGTTTTCAATTCAATTATATTCATTTTATTAAACTTTAAAAAAATAGGTATGTCAATAAGGCAAGCATCCAGACGCACCACACGGTACGTAGCCAACAAAAAATCGACGAAGAAAGTAATCAAGAGTGTTTCCGATGTGGTAGCAAATGACAAAGAGGAAAGATGTATTGCAGTAAATATAGCGGCACACGTGTGCACGAGTATTTTTGAATTAGGAAGACGGCGCCCGCGGCGGCTGTCGATCGCTGACAACGTATCGGTCGGCGTTGCCGCTAAATGTCAGTAGCTGTCGCTGCACAACAATGCAGCACGAGACTTTTTTTAGACGCAGCTAATTAAGAGCATTGAACTACTTGACATAGACTAGACTTAAGACTGAAATTTATAAAACAAACGTTGACTTCTCCTAAGCAAAGCAAAGCACATTTCTTGAATTGCCTATAAATGCTAAATTATTGTTATTTTTAGGTGATATGTTAGGTATATAGGTACTGAGTATGCTGAAGGCCTGTTGTCTAAGGCTGATATATATAAAACGAACTTTGATTTTCACCGAGAAAAATTGCCTTATGAACACGTTTTTTGTATTTACGAAACGAACTTTGCCTAAGTTGAAGCAATAAATAACGAATTAAATTCCAAATTTCATTTGTTTCTTGCTTAAACTTAGGCAAAGTTCGATTTGTGAATATAAAAAAGTGCTTAAAACATTTTTGCTTACTCGAAGTCAATGATCGTTTTATAAAATATTTCAGCTTTAGACAACAGGTTATACACTAAATACTGATACATAACAATACCTAAATAATAGTAATTTTGGATCTATAGGTGAGATGTTGTCGGAAAACAGTTTTCACAATATTTTCCATCCTTTCACAATATCCGTATTTTGGCGGGATTTATTATGCATGTAAAACGTTACATTTATAGTCATCATCTACACATTTATACGTCCCACTCCTGGGATCTCCTCTCAGACGAGAGTTTTTAGGCCATGCGGCTCAATGCGGTTTGGGGACTCACTACTTATATTTATAACTTAATATTAAATGTAACAGTTATATGCACTCGTAAATGTAATTTGGGTAATGTAATATTTTATTGTTATAATTTGTCTTTGTCACCCGATATCAACATATAGAATAAGTATACGTATATAGTAGTCCTAATGTCAACAACGAAGTAGATAACCACCAGATAACGTATGTATAAGTAGCAAATTTTGAGTTGGTACTTAACAATATAGGGGTAGGTATAGTCGACTGCATTTATACACATAGCAAAATTAAATAATCTCCGTTAATTGTAGTATTTTAAATATAAATACATATACCTAAAAAATAATATTTGATGAATTTACATTACGATAAAATGTTCATTTCGGTACGCGGAGTCGCCTATAAATTTTATAGAAGCGACTGTATTCAGTCAATCAAATATTATTTGTAAATCTGCCCAATTGACAGGCATACGTTAATTCACAGGTTTATAATTCTCATTATACATCGGCGAACTTGATATAGCAGTGAAGAGCGATACTTATTCAACAGCAAAGAGGGTCTGAAGTAGACACTCCAGTTATAGAGTAAAGGTGAGGGAAGTCGAGAATATCAAAAACGGAAGTATTTCGTGGCGGAAGTTACGTGGATTGTTTTCGATTTCCTTTTTTTAGCAAGGGGAAACAGGGCTAGGTCAGGTTAGTTAGTTGTGTGTTACATATTTCTGCCGCCAAGCAGTAATGTTAGCACTACTGCATCCCGGTTCAGAAGGGCAAGGGTGCTGGGGAAATTACAGGCACATGGGACTTATCAACTCTTATGGCTCAGTGTGACGAGCGCAGTGGCAGTGCCCCTCAGATCTTTGCTATTTACTAGCTCACATTGGCACTGCAACTGTTATGGACAGACGTGTAGCTTAACATCAGGCACACGACTTGTTCGTCCCGTCACTTGATATCATAAAAAATAAATGTTACCTTAGAAATATTTTGTAGAACAAGTACATCAGAAATTTTAAAATGTTATATACCTATTATGAGTCTTATACATTTTATTTAATATATTATTATTTTTACAGAAGATCGTCTGGTTTCTTAATCATAGACATGTGAAACTTCTTCAAAATATTACACAGTCGATCCGCAAGAAAATGACTTTATTTATGAGGGACGGATTTTCTTGCAATAAACATAACACAAGACGAAATCTTTATTTCCACAATACATTTGATTTTAAATCTTCTTTGATTTTATAGGCTGAAGAAACAGTGAGTGGTTTTTGGAGCTTGTTTCAGTAACAGGTGGTGGGAAATAAAAACTAGAGATTTCAGAGACGAATGGTGAACGAGAGATTTTATTAGCAGTTGTATCGTTTGATGTGGTGTTTTATCTGCCGGTGGGCGTGTCCGGGACAATGCGCTATTTTTGCTGCGTAAAGAGGCGGCCACGTGGCGGGCAGCTGCGCGCGCGCACGTGCCGTATATTTATACCGCCCGCCCTTACAGGATCTTACAGTAGCTGATTATTCTTGATCCTCATCTGGCTTTTATTGGTGTCAACATTATTAGTTACTGTTGTTAATAGACTGTTGTCACTATTATATACAGATTTAAGACGTGAAACAATTTGAATCATGATGTTATCATTTGTGAATGTTTTAAATTTGAAATTACTTGTATCAAATTCGTAATTCGAATAGACAAAAACGTATTCAACATACGTAGACATTATCGACGACTAAGGATAATTAATCATTTGTTTAGAAAACAATGACTATAATTACGAATATAATATACATCGTTATGTTTGTAAAGATTTCAATGCGTATTATGTGTGTAAAAATGCATGAGTAACCCATAATGTGCGCATCTTTTTTTCTGTGTATATGTAAAAATATTAATTAATGAAGGATTTAGACTAAAACTCGCAAGTAGGCGGTGTGTGCGACTTTAGAGAAAATTCAACAAATACCGGCCAGCGCTGAGTGACATCTGACCGTGGGGTTGGGCTGCGGAGCTGGCGTAATATGAACACCCTCGTGATTATTAATCCGCTCAACTATTGTACCCACCCACATGTAGATGTTTTTGTAGCATCCTCTTCCTGGTTAGTGCTGTGTAGGTGACTAAAGGTTATGTACGTTTGTTCTACTGATTATCAGATCTTGTTAAATACTAAGAAGTCTTTCTTTTCTGGGTGTGTGGTAAATTCTAATTATAATATATGTTTTCATAGTAAACAAGTTTTGCAGCCAATGTGAGATAGCCCTACCGTGCGGCTGTAGTGCGTCGGTGTCCGCCCGCCCGAGCGCTCAATGCACGCGGACAGGTGTGACCGGCTGCCGCGCATTTTCATACAAAACCGACGTTTCCACATATAAAAGGCACTTCCTTTCATCCCACCACCTCCGTTGGGAATGCCCATTAATTTGCCAACACAATATTTTTAGTATACGGCTCGCATGTAATATATCGTGGCCACGTGTCGCCGTATGTCGCCCAAGGAGCGGCTGCGTCAAATTATTTTCGTTCACGTCACAAGATACGGCACTCATCTGGCCGGTTTTCCTTTAAAAATCACACCGGCTGTTAGCTCAGGACGCGTTTCCGGTGGAAAACGTATGTGTTCAGCTTGGTTCAGATCAGCGTTTCAGCATCCAATACATTCAGTCAATTATCATAAGGGACCTGGGACATAATTCAATTGGTATTTATCAATTAGTTCTTTGCCTATGCTTAACTAATTATGAATAATTTTCCAATATTGTATTTTACAATTGGAGGTTGAATAATTTTATGGTAAAGATTTATTTCCCTTACTACAAAATATCATGAGTACTCAATACAGTATAGTTATGCGCCGATGCACTGACAATTTTCATAGAAACTAAGCATCTCACCGAGCGATGATAGATGACGCCCGGCAGCGCCGGTTGCGAGAAGCTGCGGCGAGGCGTCTCGCACTCACCTACAATCTTCGCATTATCGAGCTATTTTATGCTATTCCTGCTAAAATCATCTATCATCACGAGCTCTCGTTTCTTTACAACAATTTCATATAGTTTATTTTTACGAATCTACAGAATGCATAGCGATAAATCTTTGAAGATTGCGGCTGTTATTTTTCGGATGCCAGATAATAGTTCTTTGTGATATATTATAAAACACAATCCTTTTTATTACCTCTACGACTTATTAATGGCGGCTTTTTCAGCACCAGATTATCTTCAAAGCAAAGTTCATGAAGCTAAATTAAATTCGAAGTTCAAAATGTTGCAATATGTAGGGCGGTAATTGTTTGTTGTTCCAACCGCGCTGTGTTGTCGGATTATTATTTAGTGAGTTGTTTTTGTTTCAGAGTCTTGTTAGGTGTCACGTTGGTGGTCGAGTGGGAGTTAGAACAAAAAGAAGTCGGACTGACAAAGTAAGGGCGGAGGAACAAATGGCGCCATGTTATAATTAACTAGATTAAAAGGCAAAATCAAGTTAAGTAAACTTAGATGAAATCGATGCGATATGTTTGAAGTAGCTCTTTATAAAGTTTGTCAGTGTAGATTTTTTTACTATTTCAAAGTATCGGAAAGCGTAGGTAGTTACTACATAATTTCAGCTGCCTTCACGCGTAACTAGTGGTTCTCGACTGCGTTGACACTAATTAACAATCTTGTGACAATAATGACACTTTTATTTCTCTTTAGAAAAATAGCGATGTAAAAATGATATTACAAACGACATAAAGGAATGCCGGGACGAATGTATTAGGCGGGCTGTTGACCGCAAAGGCGGGCGTCGTCTATGAGCGACACTTAAAAAATATTGTTCTACATTATGTGACGTGAATAACTTTTCATAACGGCACTCAATTAATAACAAATTTGAATGGGGAATGATATGTTGTAACCATTGTACAATCTTCCACTCTTTCCTGAAATCAAAATACATATTTAATTTGCAATAGAAAGCTATAAATTAGATGATACAATTTATATAGGGTAATAATCAAGAAATAGTTATGTGATAAAATAAAATAAGCATTTATTTTAAACATTTGCTGTGATTTGATGGTCGGGCGCGTCTCGGTGCGGCAGCGACCACGCACATGCGAGACGGACATCCGCAACAACTGCGTGCGAAATGTCGTTACATTTATCACTTGCCGTGTTACTCTTTTTCATGCATTTTGTTCAAGATGCATACTGGAGGATAATACAAAATTGATAATGTGCAAGCGTAATGTCCACATTTGTAGATATGTGATATAATTGTCAGGACAATATATGTTAACCATGAAGGGCTAAGTACTTCTCCACCTTAAGAAACTAAGGCTATAAATATTTGTCCATGCTTACGGCCAGTTTAAAGAAAAAATAGTTAACAATTAATCTCGCGGCATTTTCTAATGCTCTGCGCGCACGCACAGCGACCGGCAAGACAAACGCCGTCGACAACTGTTGTCTGCTCGTCGCGACAGCTGCGCTCCACTTGTAATCACCACTACCACACGGTCATACACCACTACAACACGCTCACGAATCTCGACTCTACCACCTTCACATAGCAAAAGCTCCTCGCTTTATTCTAAAATTACTAAGGATGTGATTGAAACTGACTGTCAAGGAACCGCTGTCCGATATTAGTCAAGAAAATTGCATGGCTTTGTATTATGTCAAATTAATGGTCAATGCTTATAAATGATGGTATCAATTCGTATCTTTAGCTCGCTAGATCAGATCACATCCGACCGATGACAAGACAAGCTTTCTGTCTCCGTATAATCCGAAACGAGTGCCTCGTATTAATTTCTCAGAAGATCTTTGGAGATGGTGTTTTCTAGGATGTATTTAAATTAAAAAAAAAAACTACTGTTCTGTGTTTGCCAGCAGAGGATCATAACGTTGAAATAACGGATTAGAAAGTTTCATGGTAGGTGCCAAAGCGATGTAAAGTAATTAATAATAATCTAAAGGTGCATTGCTATTTATCGCAGCTACACCGCTGGTAATGAGGTTGAATCTAGTGATTCACGCTCTGAAATACAAGTAAGCCTGTAGATGTAGAACCATACCAAGCAAGGGATGTAGTCTTTAACGCTTACTGCGTTGCAGCTGTAGTATTTGTATATTAACATGATGCCCAATTTAACCATGGTAATTGTATCAAAATACATTCTGCAGTTCTTATGTGTACGTAATGTTTATATTTTGAAATTTTCAATTCTTCCAAATTTCATAATAATATTTTTTACAAAATAATAAATGGACTGATAGTACAGAGTACATCGATTCTAAAATGTTTCAAATCACGTCTATATTTGAAATGGACTGAAAGTACAGAATACATCGATTCTAAAATGTTTCAAATCACGTCTATATTTGTAAGCACTTGAAAGTCTTATGGTAAATTTTCAGTCTCGTTACCTTGACTCTATCTACTTGATCTTACTCGAACTTCTTCGTAAGTATAGATGATTTTAGATTTTCTGGAGTATCTCTTTAACGTCGAGTGAAGTCACTGAAGTGAAGATCAGAGCTGTGAGTGAGTCATTAACGACGTGCTGCAGAGCATCGCGTCGTCATAGCGACAACCGACGCCCGACGCGTGCGTCCGTGCAGTGATTTATTTACTTAGCACATATGCGCTACACTGTTTGTTGCTCATCTTTAATTAACTATAACAACATATTCAACTCGTCATATTTTGAAACTGATCGTTCTGTTCTAATTTATACTTTCGTCTAAAGTATGTGCATGGTCTATCAGCTAGACTAATCTCACTACTTTAAAATGTTGCAAAATATGTTATTTATTTCTTCTTACATTATGTTTTCTATACATATAACAAACTATAAACACAGTGAATCTACTTTAATAACAACTAGTAGATGAAGCTATTAAGCTGCAGATTACTGTAGATGGACGTAAGAAAGTGCGTCGAAGCGGAGTGTGGATATCGCACGTAAATGTGCTAGATCGGCATTAATCATGCCCGATCATAATCTCGCGGCTCGGACTGCGTCGGCGCCGCCCTCTCTGTTTGTATAGCCGTGTGGTACAATATTCGTCTTGCTGACAGATCAAATGCCCGCAAACTTTCACGTAAAATATAAACAACATCCGCTTGAAAATTATTTTTTAGTTACGTCTTCTATCATTTCTGTATATGTATACATATATTTTTGTTTTAATGGAACTGTTGATAAATATTAAAAGTGTCTAGTATATACTTTCATAGTGTTTTTTAAGGTTTTTGTAAAAACATATTTTGTCAGCAACCAGATTCATATCTAAGCGAGGATAGACATACAGCTGCATATTTGTGTTATTGCGTCACACTGCCGGCACGATTATGCATAATTTGAAGTCATATAGCTCATAACTCGTAACCCAGCAAAAGTAAAAGCTAAATGAAGTTTACTGGCGCCCGTGCAACTCGGCCGCGCGTGCTTGTTTTCTCAACAAGCCGAATAATTCGCCTCGCCGCCCGCGCCCTCCGATGTACCGTGTTAAAAAGTTTCCAATGTTATTGTTTACAATAGTTAGTGTATATACGATCATGATTTGATGAAAGATGCTTTTAGTGGTTCGCGAGGTTTAAATTTGTGAATATAACATGTCTGTTGAAGAGACTTGTGAGTAATAATGTGTTCTAAAACTAGATATTATGTTGTGTGCATTAAACATATCACATAACTTACTTGATTTTGTAATGAAATTCTTTATCCAATTCCTGTGATTGATGTAGTTCGCAACACGCCATGTTTTTGTATAAAAGCAGACTATTTAATTACGAGTCTCTAATCCAATAGCTGCAGTAGAGTTGGCGCCGGCAGTTGGTCTCAGTACAAATTGGCGGGCGCATGTCGGGTAACTTAATCAGAACCCTTCGGAGTAGACCCTCGTATTGCACGTAAATGAAGCTTGGAAAGTTTGTTTTTTGAAATACGTGTTGAGAATCACTTCAAGTTTGAAATAAGAACCCGCTCAATTTAGTATGATTACTCTCACTTACGAGTGTAGGAACGTTTTCGTGCTTTTAGTTTTATTTTAGATACACATTTAGCCTACACTAAGTGAAATCTTAATACCTTACCATTTGCACAATTTCTGTCGCGTAGCATTAGTGTCAGACCAGAGGTAATGTGCATAGCAAAGTGAAACCACAGAAAGTTGAGCGTCATCGATCTCAATAATTATACCGCGCACGTGCGGTGCACGTCTGCGGGACGGGGCGGGGCGCGGGCGGCGGCGACTAAAGAAAGATATGATAATGGGGGTGCTACAGGCTTCATAGTTTTACTAAAAAGAAATTGCAAGTAGTTTCTTAATAAGTTCACAGAGAACTTCAGTACGAAGTACATACACGGGATTTGTCAACCTATGCCTCAAGGTGACGGCGTAGTGGCAGTGCCACTCAAATACTTGCGATTCAATGGTCTGTGTCGCTTACCACCAGGCGCATGACTTGTTCGTCCCGTCACTTGGTATCATAAAAAACGTTTTTTGAGTCCTAAATAATAAATTATTGGTAAAGTAGTTACATAATACGTCACGAGGTTTTACTTACACGTAGAGTAGGTAAACTTGTGTAGATACTCTATTTTGTTTTATACAGTACTAGAGAATAAAAAAGTTAACAACACTATACACAGATTATAGAGTATAACAGTTGTCATGTTAGCCAGACTGGTACACTATTCAGCCCTTGTTAGTACAATGCATAATAATCTCTATGGGAAACCTTTTTATTAAATTACTACAGGGCGTCGTGGTACGCGCAGCTGGTGGACTTGTATGGCATCACTCGATTTATTCCAATGACGTTTACTTGTTTCCATTTGTCTAATTGAATCGGGTATTGTCTATAGTCATCAATTTTTTATGATGAGTTTTAAAAATGTAGTTATCTCTTCTTTAATTAGATCTTACCTTTCGACCGAATAAAATGACAAGTATACCTATAACTCTTACATTTAAAAAGTTTTATTCAATTGAATTCCTGTGTTTTCCGAACGGTATGAGCCATAAACAAATCTTATTGCAGAGGAAGGATGTTTGTGAGTGCAAGCACGTGCTGGCGAAATTTGGTTTTCCTAAAACGGAACGTTGTGGGCGAGTTGAAACAGCTCCCAATTTTTTTTAGATATAATCTTGAACAAATATAATGCTTGAGTTTTTTGTGTAACTTCGGATACTACTATGTACGTGAGGCGCACTTTAAGTTTCCGGAATGAATAAGAAAAAAATACTATAAATGGTCAGAAATGAATTCATTGTTTTTCAAAATATTCTCCGATAACGTTAATGCACTTTTTCATATGAATGTACAAATTTTGAAAGCAATTATGCCACTCCTCCGTGACAATCTGTGAAACATATTTTTCATACTCTTCGACAGCCTATTCAGGTGATGAAAATAGTTGACCGCATAACTGGTTCTTAATTTTTGGAAATAAATAGAAGTCACAAGGCGCCAGGTCGGGATTGTAAGCGGGATGGCTCATAAGGTCAACGTCGTTCACCTTCAAAAATTCATTTGTTCGTTTGCCCGTGTG